CTTTTACACCAATTTTCTTCCTTTTCTTTTTAATAAATATAAATAATTAAAAAAAGGAAAAATGAAAGAAAGAAGAAAAGAAAAACAAAAAAGAAAAAAAGAAATTTAAAAACCCATCATCTTCGTCCACCCCACACAAATCAGACAACCACCTACCACAACTTCTGATCCGACGTCGCACCACCACCCCTTCCGAACCAATTTCAATCCATCCCCCCATATCTGTTAGTTCCATCTCGAAAATCTGCTATTCAATCCACCCCTTCACCATCGTCATCATCATCCTCATCATCCTCGAATCTGAACATCGGCGGCGGCGGAGACGAAAACTGGCGGCGTAAGCTCCGCCGTCGGCTCTTGAAATCTCTCAGATCCACCTCCGTCGAAAACCTCGGAGAATCGAAAAAGAGAAACTACCACTTAGTTTTCCCCGAAGACGACGAGGATGTGAACAAGGACAAATTGAGCTGCTTGTTGGTGTTGTACATTTTCTTCGGCGGCGGCGACTGCATTAGGGTTGTACCTCTGGCTCCATTACTTGTACTCGAATTCTTCCACATCTCGATTCGATTTTGCTTGCTCTCAATTATTAACAGATCTGGTGAATTGCTATTGTTGTTGGCCTTTTGGATCATCGGTTGATTATTTCTGTTGTTATTATTATGAGGTTGTTTGTAGGGGATGAGTTTGCCGCAGAAGATGATGTTCTCCGGCGGAAAATCGGCGGCGGCGGCGGACGGGGTGAACTCTTGGCTGAGCTTGGTTGGGGATGATGGTGACGGGAAGAAGAAACTTATTCTTCTTTTTTTATTTTTTTTATTTTTAAGATTTATTTATATTTATTAAAAAGAAAAGGAAGAAAATTGAGTATAAAAGGAAATGACCAATTTATCCCAGCTAAAGTCACGTGTGAGGCACGTGATTTGACTTCCGGTCAATTTTGGCCAAAAATGGACATTTTGGACATCGGTGCTAAGAAAACCGGAGTTCAGGTATGCACGTGCAACTTTTTTCCGTTCAGAGGGTAAAACGCAAAAAGTCCAAAGTTTAGGGGATTTTTTGCAGGCATATAATTTTTCTGTTATTTTATATTTGTTTTGTTTGTTCGGTTTTCCATGTTCACACCACAACCATTGGTTGATTTGAATATGTGAAGAAGGTTAAAGATTTGATTTTTATATGCAGATTGCATATCCTTGTATATTCTGGACTGAATTCTCAGATGGGCTCTGGCTATTTACCTCTGGTTAGTGATTTTGCAGCTTTCAATGCTTGGGTTTCTGTTTCTGTTTCTTGTACATGTTGTTCTAGCGCATTCTTGATCGTGGTCTTGAATTTGATCAGGGTATTGTCGAATTGGTAGATCTGTAGAGTGGGTTATTTACCCTTATTTTTTTGAAGCATAATTTTTTTTAATTTGTGTGTGGAATTCCGAAAGGGGTAATGACAAATAGGCCCATGACAAGGTCACTTAATTAAAATAGGGACATCCAATTTTTTTGTCTTTCAAATAAATCCACCCCATTCAAACTTATTTGCAAATAAGGAAAATCCCTTTATATATACCAAAATTACCCCCAATTCATTGAAACCCAATTCAACTCCAATTTCATGATTTACACCCCAATTTAGCTCAATTTCATCAATTAACCAATTTTAACCCAAATTTCAATTTTGAACCTAATTTTAACCCTAATTCGTATCAATTCCACCCATTATGCTCTAACTTCTTTAATATTACACATTGACCCCGGATTTTAACAAATATATCACATTAACCCCCAAAACTTTTTTTTTTTCAGAAAATAATTTTTTTTCTGAAATATTTTTTTTCCGGCCAGATTCCGGCGTTGACCCTTTTTTTTTTTTTTTTTTTTTGTTTTCCTGAAAATTTTTTCCGGCCGGTCAACGGCCGTTGACCGCCGGGTCTCCGGCGTTGACTTTTTTTCTTTTTTTTTTTTTTCCTTAAAAAAAATATTTTAATTACTGTTACTGTCTTGGCTGCTAAATTACTGTCTCCGGCAGCTATTTAACTGTCGGAGACAGTAATTTAACTGTTAATTGACTGTTTTTTTTTTTTTTCTTCAAAAATATTTTAATTAATATTACTGTATTCGTTGCTAAATTACTGTCTCCAGCAGTTATTTAACTGTCGGAGACAGTAATTTAACTGTTAATTGATTTTTTTATTCTTAAAAAAAATATTTTTAATTAATATTACTGTATTCGTTGCTAAATTACTGTCTCCAGCAGTTATTTAACTGTCGGAGACAGTAATTTAACTGTTAATTGACTTTTTTATTCTTAAAAAAAATATTTTTAATTAATATTACTGTATTCGTTGCTAAATTACTGTCTCCAGCAGTTATTTAACTGTAGGAGATAGTAACTTAACTGTTAATTGACTTTTTTTTTTTTTTTTCCTTAAAAAAAATTTATTTTAATTAATATTACTGTCTTGGATGTTAAATTACTGTCTCCAACAGTAATTTAACTGTCTTAGACAATAATATTAATAATATTACTGTTCGGAAAAATAATATTCATAATATTACTGTCCCAAACAGTAATATTACTGTCTGAGACAGTAATTTAGTAGTCAGGACAGTAATATTAATTAAAATATTTTTTTTCTAAGAAAAAAAAAAAAAAAAAAAGTCAACGCCGGAATCTGGCCGGAAAAAAAACAGTTCAGGAAAAAAATTATTTTCTGAAAAAAAAAAGTTTTGGGGGTTAATGTGATATATTTGTTTAAATCCGGGGTCAATGTGTAATATTAAGGAAGTTAGAGCATAATGGGTGGAATTGTTAAGAATTATATTATTGAGGGTATTTTAGACTAAAGACATGGGGATGGGCTTAATTGAGAGACTGTTTTTTTCGTGGACTAAAATGCATTTAAGTCCCATGTGATGGGCCTTTTTGCCATTTGCCCATTCCGAAAATATAATTTTCTAAATAAATATTGCTCATTTTAATATTTAATAAAAGAGCTAATTGCATATAACCCCCTGTGTAATTTCGAATGGCTAAAAAACCCCTGTGTTAAAAAAATTAGCATAAACCCCCCTATGTTGTTTTATACGAAGCACACTGCCCCTTTCATTAAAATTAGCTATTGACTTACATACAATGACTAATTTACCCTTACGAAAGAAACATGAAATTGTTAAAAAAAAAGTAAAAAAAGGAATTTCGAACAAAACCCAAAACAATCTTCCCCACCCCAACACACTGGAAAATCTAATTAAAAAAAAAAGGAAATCTTACAAAAAAAAAAAGTGTGAAAAAAAAATGAGCTATTGTTTTTTTTTTTTTTTTTTTTTTTCCTATTTTTGAATAATTCTTCACTCAAATCCTCCCCAAAACATTCATCTCCTTAGATTTTTAATAATTTTTCAGTAATCATTCCGCACAACTCGCCAGAATCGAAGTGTTACTGTTCAATTTGGCCGGAAAATGTTTGCCCACATCGAATCTACCTTTAACCAGGCCCCCACCCTTATTTCTCGCCGAAATAACTCCCGTAGTCGGATCCGGTTCTTCTCGCCGGAAAAATGTTGTTGAAGGACGCATGTGCTGAAAATCCTCCATTATCGATGAACGGCGGAGGACTGGGGGATTGAAGCACTTGGCGTTGGTGAAGAAAAGTTGTCGGTGGAGGAGAAGATTGGAGAAGGCCAGTGGTGGGAGGAAAGGGGCGGCAGTAGGAGCTGGAAATTTGGGAAGAAGACAAGTTAAATTGAGATCTATTTTTTTTTCTAATTGAGTCTATTTTTTTAAATTCGGCTGTAGAATTTTTGTTTGGGTAAGAAATTTTGAAAATTATAATTAGATCCAAAAGTTTCTATTATTTACATTTAAACCCAATTAGATTTATGTTTATTTATAAAAGAATTTAAGAGGGTATTTTTGACTTTTTACGTTAAAAATTACACTCTCAGTTACACAAGCCGCGCGTACAACACACGACATGCTGTCAAGGACTTTTTCGCCTTTGACTAATTTTCATCGGGGGGTTCCTCCGAGGAGTTTTTCGGCAATTCAAAATTACAGAGGGGTGGTTCTTGCAAAAAACCCTTTAATAAATTGCAATGAATATGATAACAAAAAGATTCGTATGAAACCAAAGCCCTAAACCCCGCTTATTTAATCGAATTCGCTACACGAACGGTCATTTTTCAATCTTTTCGAACTCATTCCTTATAATAGTCACCCCTATATTAACCCTCTTCAATTCTCCAAACCCACACTTCACCTAGGGGTGCAAGTTGGAATGAAATTTCCAATTTTCGCTGGTTTCGATCCGAAAATTTTTGATTTTGGAACAACTTTTTTCATACCGACTTCTAAGTTTTGGATTTCCGAATTTTTTCGATTTTTTTGGATTGGAATTGGAATTATATCAAATTAATTTGCAATTTTCGATTTCCGATCCGATTTAGTTCCGATATTAATTCCAAAATATTCCGATTTTTTTTTCTCAAAAAATACACCTATAAATAATATATATCATATAATACTTATTTTTCCGACAAATACACCTATAAGTTTTGTTTTAGGATTTTGACATAATGAATTGTTGTTAGAAGTTTTATTGGATATTACGATATATTTATTTTTTATTTATTTTTTTGAACTGAAATAAGTTTTTATAGTGATGACGATTAAATCGTATATGAAACTAGACAAGGATTACCAGCTAAAATCACTATTGTATATAAGAAGAATATCTGATATTGTATGGTTTTTATCTTTCAAGTTTGCACCGATTTCATATTTGGTACCCATATTCACAAAAAAATACATTTGATCCCATATGTTTTAAAAATTCAACATTTTTAGTCATTTTCGTCAATCTCCGGTTAAAACTAATAGAATCAAACATGTGTTTATCACTACATTAACTAAGGGACTAACGGTAACTTGACAGAAATGACAAAAAAATATTAAATTGTTGAAAATGAGGGACCAAATATATTTATTTTAACATGGAGGACCAAATGTAAAATCGGTGCAAACTTGAGGGGTGAAAATTGTAATTTCTCAGATATTGTATTATCCAAAAAATTATCCCCAAAATTATTACCGTCTGAAAACGAAAAAAAGCTTTCTAGTTCTAATGAAAGCGTTCAAGAAACTTTCAAATGGTTGAAACAGCGCTTTCTGCGTCTGTGTTCTTCTTCTGCGATTCATTGACGAACTCTACAGATTCGAAATTAATTTTGTCAAGAGGAAAAAAAAATGCAGACCTCTGTGGATGGGAATCAATCAAGTAATGAAATCGCGGGAGCTGATCAGAATATACTGAATTTATTGGACTCCATGGATAATTACCTAATCCTTGTCGATTCATTATCTTCATCTCTTCGCCAGGTAAAAAGTAAATTGATTTTCGCAAATTGCAAATTTTCCAGTCGTTTTTTATTGTAATAGATGGAATCTTCGATTTATTGCGTTAGAATTGATTATTCCGAAATATGAGGGATTGATTGAAGGAAAATAAAATAAAATTAGTATGTACTACTGTTTGTTATGATATGAATGTGTGTATGGATTATGGCCTTGTTTGGTTGTCAAGATCAGATTAGCCAAGATAAAATTAAATAATCTAATAAAACCCAATTACTTTATTGGAGCTCTCGACGTCCAACAAAAAAAATTCACTAGAAGGCAAGATAAGCCATGATTAATTAATTTTGGCGGGTCGACCCGACAATTTATTGGGGATACCAAACGTCAAATTAAGTCCAACTATTTAGTTAATCATGGCTTATCTTGGCAACCAAACAGGGCCTAATGAGTATTAACCACATAACTGGATAATTGTGCTTGATCTGATTCCTTATAATAAGTCTCATGTGTGTTTGATCTTGATTTTTTGGCATTTGCAGGGATGGCTGGAGTTAGCCAGTGCTCGATATTCGATGGGTGCTTCTCGAGTCAACAGCTCTTTGTTTGACCTCAAATCTCACCAAGCTTCAACTACATTGCAAGTAGACAATGGTACTTCTTTAATTGGAAATTACAAAAAAAAAACAAAAAAAAGAAAACGAAAAAAATCTATTTTGAAATATTCCCATCGTATCGAAACTTAGGAGAGATGGTGTTTTTATGAAATACTTTGAAGCCTTGAGTTTATCTACCACTTCGTAGAATATGCAGTAATAGTGTTTAATTAGCCATGCATACGAAAAGCATTTTCGTGTTTATATTTCCAGGTGGCATCGATACGGAGCTACCATGCTTCACTCTGTGCAAATGGACGTCGTCTGACGAAGCCAAACTTGAGGAGGATGAGTTGTTGAAGAACAAGTCTGATAGTCCACCAGTTCAACATCTGGGTATATGGCTTTGCTTCTAAATCGATTTTTTGTTTGTTTCGCAGCTGTTTTATGATTTTGAAATTGTGTTACGGTTGTGTTCTTGGCCGCCGTATACATGTTTTAGAGAGAGATAAAATGTACGGAACTTCAATTTTTTTTTTAATATTTTATTTTGGCATCCTTGACATGCATATTGATTGAGTGTTTGTTCTTTTAATTTGTGATAATAAAGAGTCTGAAGAGAGAAAGGCAGAAGAATCGGGATCGCCGGTTACTGCTAATAATCATGTAAGTTAGCCCTCGATTAAATCTTGTCCTATATAATAGAAGTGCAATAGTAAAGCATAGTCAATTTAGTTAAATCTTGAAATAAGTTTTTGGCAGGTTGAGAAAGAAAGATTTAAATCCCTCTCTATGTTTGGAACACTCGTCTCTCCTAAGCTTCGTGCAACCCAATCAACATTCGAGACAAGTACGTACTAGGATGATTATTCCTCTTTCTTTTCGGCTTGTAATGATATTAGTCGAATGATTATATATAAGTATAATTATTTACTGACTTCCACGTTTTGGCAGCTTTGGAGACGCTGGTAGAAATGTCGAATTTAAGGGCTTCTTTGCTTTGTGCTTACGATCACGTGCAGAAGGATCGGAAGACCGATTAATAACTGCGATCGACTGAACATCGTGTTCAAAAATTGTCCTCATCCCACACGATTTCTTCTGCGCCTCAGTTCAGGAGCCGGTTGCATAAAAATTTGCTTCGGCGGTGTTTGTTGCTGGTCCAGGTTTGTAGGCTGCTCTCTTGTAAGACATAAATAATAACAGTGTCTAAATATTTACCCCGTTGCCAAATGCAAGACTGAGTTTGACTGTGGTGTGAGAGACTGATGAACAGCTGGTCTTGATGATCACTGTTTGTGTCTGATTCTTTTAATTTATTTTTTTAATGTCACAATAATCAAATTATATTATGAATATTAAATTACTTAGCAACAACAAATTAAAATCAGAGTTTGAAAGAGCGCAATATTTTTTTTTGGCTTTTTACCTTCCCGCGTAATTTGTTTTATATCCTCTTATTTGTTCATACCTCACCTTGATTCTTTGCTTTTCCGGTTTTCACATCGCATATTTTTGGGAAAAAATTTCCACCGCGCTGCCGCTTTTTTTATGTCTCTTTTCTCAGGAATTTTAGTTGTACTGTACTGTTTCGAATCAAATCGTTCCTGCCAATTCTCTGTACTACATTGTACGAGACAAAGTATTGTAGATATATTTTCACAGTAGTTGGTATTTCAATGAATAACAATTATTTTTCAAAATTATGTTCTAAAATGTCATTTTTCAAATATTTGCAGTGAGTGGTGGTATCTCTATTCCTTGCTCTATGTGATATGCCTGAACGCGAAGACTGCGGAAAGAACTATTTAATTTATGAAAAACTACGGTTCTTCGATGTTGATCACCATTTGTTAAAACAAATTTTCGGTTTGCTTCGCGAATTACCTGCTAAATTTATTCCTCATGCATAACAAGTTCACCTACATCCTTCATTTGATTATTTTTAATTATTCGATCCATCTAATTTTGCGGTGTTGTTTATATCTTCATCACGCTTTTGTTCTTTCATAATATGCTTTAGTAATTGCTTTTTTAAATAATAATTTACTATCTTTCTGAAATTTCGACCGCCCCGCTTGCTGTGTATTTGTGTCGTCGTGCACCTTTCTAATATGTGCCCACCATTGCCTGTTTGTATTGTGCTAAATTTCTTTGTCCTGCATTTTTTTTCTTCTCTGCCGATAGTACAGTAAAGTATTTACGAATTACGTGCATGCTCGTGAAGTTAGAGACATATCCTTCGGGTCAAAGATCTTCAGATACAATATGTGCATAAACTTTTGTTTTGCGTTATTTAGTTGTTGGTGCAGCATTTTTAGAGAATTACGAACAGAGTGCGTGCTCGTGAATCTAGAGGCGTACCCTTCAGATCAACGAATTTCAGATACAACATGGCCGAATAATTTTATTTTTTTATTTTTTCCTTCTCATTTAATTGTTGGTCAGGCATATTTAAAGATTTAGGAGCACATGCCCCATTACGTGACAACATTTTTACATATATTAAGAATACGAAAAATAAACGGCTGCGGCTATATGCAAGACTAATTCCACTTGTGCAAGACCAAATTAAAATTTTCAATGTATAAATACTATAATACCCTTATTTATTAAAAAAATAAAAAATTCCAAATATGCAAGACCAAAAATTCAAAAACACAAAAAACCCTATCACAAGACCACAAAATCACAAGACCAACTATCATCTTCTCCATCTTCCAAAACTCACAAGACCTTTCTCCTTCCTCCTCCATTAACCCACAAAACCTAGAAATTCAAAATCATCAAAACTCAACAAATCTTACAAAGATGGCAAATATGGAGTCAGAAGACATCAAAATAGAAGATTCTACGATGGACGAACCCAAGAATGTATGCATTTATGGGTTTTTTTAGCTAGAATATCGATTTTCCAAAAAAAAATCCCGCTCAAACGAATTCGACATGTACAGGTCGAATTTTACAGGTAAAAATCGACATTTAGATGTCGAATTTGTGGTATAAAATTCTACATTTAGATGTCGATTTTTAGGTATAAAATTCGACATTTGAATTTGTGCTACAAATTCGACATGTCAATGTCGATTTTTACCTATGAAATTCGACGCTTAAGTGTCGATTTGTAGCATAGTTTTTCGACACCTTGGTGTCGATTTTTGTTTATTTCTCATTATTTGTATTTGGTCTTACATGAGAAAAAAAAAGCCAATTTAATTTATAGACATACTTGTCATTCCATCTTAATAAAATAGAATCTTTTGGAATCTTTCTTTAATTTGGTCTTGCACAAGTTGCATATAGCCGCAGCCAAAATAAACTACATTCAAAATTAGTAATTATTTTGTTCACCTCAAAAATTGAATGGGATTTATCTTTTAGATGTAATATTAAAAAAAACCCTACACAAAACTAATAAAACAAATTTGTTTTAACATAAAGCATCTTATACTATATATGACCGTATTACAGAAGACAAGTATCTTCTTTTGTTTTCATATTCTTTTATCAATAAATTTTTACTTCATGCAAGGAATATATCAACATAGGTTTATCCGTTCCTTTTTATATGTAAAAATAAATAAAAAAACCTTGTACCCGCATACAGAAACTTTCTTGGCTATCAGCTCTTAGAAGGTGGCACCTTTTTTTGTCTAAATATTTCGGCCATCTTTTCCTGTTCTATATTTTGTATCTTATGTAGGTTGCGTATGCTTTCGTTTTTGTGTTGGAAATTTTATTTATTAAAATAAAATTATTTTTTGAACGAAAATTAAAAAAATATTTGTAGGCACCTATTTGATAAAATAGTGTGACAATATGAAGAGGTGTGGCCACACCTCTTCACTTGTTTAATTTCCTAATAGTTGTGTTCATTAATCACAACCATTGGAAACTTATAAATAGAAACTCCACATGTTTGATTTGATAACAACATAAAAATCAATTTAATTCCATAATTTTGTTCTATGGATTTCTTCTTTCTTTAGCCCGGAAATATTCTTCGTAGAATATTTTCTTTCGTATTCGATTCGAGAGTTTGAGACACAAAGTAACGTTCGTTCTACTCGGGATTTTGAGTGCTCATATGCCGATTTAGCCGTTGTATCTTGGGAGACTATTGCCAAATAACCGTAAGCACCGTAGTGGGGCAATATTGTCTTAAGGAAAGAGTTTTCTCGCCTTGTAATCTTTTCGTATTTTACTAATTAATTTGTTCGACCATTTTACTAAATTCACTACCCGTTTTATATATCGGGAACAACAATCTTAAGACAATAGTTTTGTGATTTAGTAAATTGTGTTTTCTGCACACGTTGTTAAACGGGACAGAGAAGGAGATAGTCTGCAAAAAATCAAGAAGTTACAAAATACAATTGGAGAAAGTTCATTTTCAGACAGAACATGAAGTCCACATTCCTGCCCATTTTCGAAGGTGTTAAAGTTCGAATATGGAAAATTAACATTTCACAGAAGTTGTAGTTAATCAAGTTAGCTTTCCAAAACATGTTAAATCGTCACAATCGAAGATTGTACGAAGAAGTTATGATGAAAACACGAAAGGGTGGCAGAACTGCTGATGCACCTTTTCATGTAAAATACAACAGTTCGTGACCAATGCAACTTGTCGCATATAAAATGCCTCACCAATGTCCAATGCATGAAATTTTGGTGAAAGAAGACTGAATCGAAGAATAATAATAATGAGGTTTTATATTATTTTCGATTCATAAATATTATTTAATATTTTTGTTGTTCCATTGTAGGTGCATTTTTACAGCACACCTATTCCGACTTCGAGGCTTACTTTGATCATGATCCAGTTGGAATCTCAGAAAACGTGAAAGATAAAAGTTGTAGAAAATTCTGTTGGCTATTCGGATCATATTGAATCAACAAAATCAGAATTCAGACGGACCAGATATGATTAAATCATTCAGAACTGCCATAATATTGACTCAATTTGGTGCTACCCACAAAATTTTGAATTGACGAACATATAATTTATCGGGTACGCTTTTTAATTATAAAATATCTATTTTTGCAATAAATTGATGATGCTATATGATATAATGGTGGATTATTGCATGATAGTTTAATTTTCATATGTGGAATCATGGTAAACTATATACTATATATATGCTTTAATGAATATTCATTATGATCTATATTAATGATATAAATAATTTTATCCTAAATGCAATAAAGTGATAGCGTATGTGCTAATTATTTGAATAAGTTTATCATAAACCGCATGATAAGGGCTATAATACTACATGACATTTCTCATGAAAATGCAATAATATTTATTTGCATAAATTGCATGCAGTTTGATATTGGATTAGCTTTCTCCCAATTTTCTTTTGATGTGGAACCGTCTAGTTGATTGATTTTCCAAAATGTTATATGAAATTCGTAAGTACGTGATCTTATTAACATTTTTATTATTGTCTATGAACGAATAGACTTGTCTCGTATATTAAGTATGAGTTACTTAGTAAGAGGAATATTATTATACATATTATTATTTGCGTAAGCCATACTAATTCCTTAGAATGGTTACGTGGATTTTTTTGATTAATTTATATTTCTATATTAATTTGTGGATTTAGTATCTTTTAGGTACAAATCGAAAATTAGGTGTCCAGGAAGCAAAAATGATCAAAGAGTAAGAAAAGAGTTGCAATTAGGAAACTAAAATCAAATTAGAAGAGAGAATCCCTGAACATCTTTGGTAGTGTCCACGAAGTCGAGTATAACATTCTCATCCGGACACCAAATCAACTAGTTTCGGCTGCCTTACAAAGCTATTTCAGCTAGCTACAATCTCTGTCCAACGGCAAAAATCCAAATTATGACTCAAACATGGTCAAATTTAACATTCTCATGGGGACACCAAATCAACTAGTTCCGACGGCATTAGAAAGCTATTTCAGCTGGCTATTATTACTATCTAACGGCAAATTTCCAAATTCGGACACGAACATGGTCATAATTGGATTCCAAAAGCGATCATGAAAATACCAACTACAGTTCGAGGACATGAATGCACATCGAGAAACGTGCACAAAAACACACGCTAGAAGAGATACGCACATAAGTAAAAGTACAAAAGCATGCACAAAAGTACTCACGCAAAAGCGCATTCGCAAAAAGGATCATGAAAACACAAACTACAATCCTAGGAAATTAATACAAATCAACAAACATGCACAAAGAAATTCGCTCAAATGGACATGCACAAACGTACATGTAAAAAAACATGCGCAAAAGTGCATTCGCAACAACGTTCTTAAAAACACGAACTACAATACTAGGACTTTAATACACATCAACAAAAAACAACAAAAACACTAGATAAAAAATATACAGCGGAGTTTTAGAAATAAAACTCTACGTTTACGTTTACGTTGATTTTTTTTTCAGATTAATTTATATTTATATATTAATTGGTGGCTTTGGTATCTTATAAATACAAATCGAAAATTAGGTGTCCAGGAAGCAAAAATGATCAAAGAGTAAGAAAAGAGTTGCAATTATGAAAATAAAATCAGATTACAAGAGAGAATCCCCGAACATCTTTGGTAGTGTCCTTGAAGTCGAGAATAACTTTATCATCCGTACTCCAAATCCAATGGTTCCGGCGGCATTTGAAAGCTATTTCAACTGGCTACAATTCCTGTCTAATGGCAAAATTCCAAATTCGGACTCGAACATAGTCAAAATTTGATTCCAAAAGCGATCATGAAAATACGTACTATAGTTCTAGGACATGAATGCGAATCAAGAAACGTGCACAAAAACACTCGCTAGAAAAGATACGGACACAAGAAAAAGTACAAAACCATGCATACAAGTATTCACGCAAAAGTGGATTCGCAAAAAGGATCATGAAAACACAAACTACAATCATATGACATTAATACAAATAAACAAACATGCACAAAGACACTAGCTCAAAGGGAG